TCATTCCTAGACTATAATGTCACAGAGGGCATGTTCGCTGGTGAAACTAGACTACCTGAAACAGTGTCTGCAGCCTTGTTTTGGTTTAAAATACAATTGCATTGTAATAATATATAAGAGAAAAGATGCATTGTTTTAGTGCAATTTATCAAACAGAGTCAATACGTATCAAGTATCATAGAACAAGAAGAGGTCCAGGATTTATTTTTGAAAGCAATCATCAAATCTGCGTCAGAATTCCAGAAAAGATTATCGGGAACATACGAATGCGCCGTGAAGATCTATAAAAAACGTGTTCACACCTACAGAGGGGGAAAAAAGACAATAGCAAAATGAAGGGATGAACAGATTTTATGAGACAAAACCACATTTCATATTTCCACAGATACATACTGGCAGATGTAGCTTTACATTCTTCAAATATACATCGAATTGTGCAGATTTTGTGCCGCACTGTGTACATGGATGTCTTTAGAACAGATCCTGCATCACTGCTGCTCTTTCTCACCGTGCACAGGGCTGCACTTGAGTGCCCCAAAAAATTGCACAAACCTTTATTTTTACTCGCATTAATTATTTACATCTGTCCATTTTTTTTGATGCACCGTATGCTGCTTGGATAGGAGAACTTTAGTTGGTTGCTCTAAGAAAAAGCCAAGAATACAGTATACATCTTTTGTTGTTGTTGTTGGTACTCTGGTTACTGTGTGTACAGAAGGAGATGTAAAGCATTTGGATGACTTCTCAGTATGGATACAGTCTGCAGCCCTTCAGCAACGATTCCTTCTTGCAGCAAAGTGTCAGTATGAAGGCTCCTGCAGCTCATTCCCACGAGGAGCGCAGTACACTCAAAGACTAACCCTATGTTTAATGAAGGTTTCGGCCATGTTTACATAATCCATAAATACTTTATTGTATGTTACTGTTATATGCAAATTACAACCACCACATTTGTTACACAACCTTAGAAGGCTTCAGCGTGGAGAATATGAAGTTGTTACTGCTGCTGCTACCTTGTGACGATAATGCTCTGGCTTTTCAGCTCAACTCTGAGAAGAAAGACGGTAATAAACCACTCGTTTATCTTGCAGTTGAAATCAGTGTGTGGCGTCAGTGGGTGTGTGCAGGTATGCGTGTGTCCACATCAATTCCACGTCAAGTTTTGCATCAGCAAGTTTGGAGGTTTATTTAATGTCATAGCAGCAAGTTTTAATGTAAGGTAACAAAGACATACACACATGTAAGACCATCAATCAATGAAGGAAACAGATTTTTGCACATTTTTTTTTCTCTTCAGTCACGTTTATGCTGCCTATTTAGTTCGTTGACTGCTGTAACATAGTGGAAAATACGCCCCCCACCCCCCCTCCCCCTTATGTGTTTCATAAAAGTAATGGGAAGCAAACATTTCAAATGCACATGGTAAGGCAGGCTAAGTATCTGCCACGAATCAGAACAATCACAGCCACATGAAAATACCAAAGCATCTAATTCGATGACTGAGAATATGTATTGCAACGGCAGACGAGTGTCAGGTCAAAACAAAACATTATTCATGATTAAAGGACCAACTGTTTCCCGCCGTTCCAGCAGATTTCATGACATGGCACTTATGTAAAAGCAAACAGTGTGTGACAAATAAAAAAACAAAAGAACATTCACATTGTAGCAAAACTTCTCTGTTCGCAATCTTGTAATGTGAAAGTGGACTTTTGGTGTTTTCAGAAAGGAAGACTGTTAAGAAGTCATTTTACACAACTGAAGAAGTGCAATTCGACAGTATGGAAAAACGTTGTGTTGCGAGTCATTCTCACGGCACAAATTTCAGGAGATTCGCAGTTTCTCATTAGCTCCAAAATAAGCACTGTAAAGACTATTTGGACCTATGTGTGGAAAAATAACTCACGTATACGACAAACGAGCACTATTTTATAAAACAAAATAATCACTGTGATGACAAAATACTTTTATTCCCTGAGCAGCAGGTAGTGAACTGCCCAGGCTAGTTGATCCTGTTGTGTGTGTAATCCATAAACTGAGCACACCTCCCACAGTAACACTGGCTACTCAATCAGCGAATATTACACGGGGCAACTCTTCAGTCTGATATAATAAATATATGCATATAAAAATACAACAAGCATACCTACAGTACACCTGCCGCTCTTCCCCAGTACAACGTATTTAATACATCTAGATACTGGTGTACTTGTATATACACTGTGATAATTAATAGTGACTCCTAATTTGCATAATTTGTATTTAAATGTAATAAACATTAATATATTTGAGTGATGACTGATTTTATTTGTGGATTAATACAAATGTTTTAATTTTTACCGATTCAGAGTATGGTTTTATTAGAGCACAGGTTTTATTGGTATACATACAAAGATAGGTCTATACACTTCATGACTTACATGTAACTCGTCTTTGACAAATAGATTCCAATTGCTTTGAAGGTCAAACGAAGGACAAAG